TTTAAGATTATTAAGGGTATTGAAAATATAGATCCACCAAACTTTTTTGTGTTCAACAGTGAAAACAATAGGGGCAAGGGGTCATAAATTCAAATTTTGGCAGCGTAGGAGTTGCATGCAGTATAGTCAGTTTTACTTTTCAAATAGGGTGGTTGGCTTTTGGAATGATGTGGAGGAAGAAAATTTAATCGAGTTCAAAAAAAAAAAAATTGGATGAATACATGAGTAGTTAGGGGTGGTTATAGTTGGGAGCTGGAAGGGACATTCTTGATGGGCTCATAAGCTCCTTTTTTGTCTCTTTATAATTTTATGAAAAAATTACAATTTGTTGTGTCCGTTTATATATTTTCCATATATACGATTAAGAACTTTCTGGTCAAAAGTACGCTAATTATATAGGTCAGAACTATGATTTAAAATAACACATGCATTAATAGAAACAGTTCAGACTATAAAAAATTAACGTATCAAATATATACAGTTAGAAAACGTTAAGAATTCATTATCCCTCGAGGTTAAAAATACATCGATATGATGAGATCATTGTCATGATTTGAATATCAGTGATTAATTTATATTTGTGAGTGAATATTTTATTATTTTAAAGTTTTATTATAATAAGAGTTAAAAAGCTGACGATTGTAGAAGGTTTTGTTAATAATTAATTGGTGTCGATAATATAGAAAGTAGCCAGACGACTATGTAATAAAGATATAAATAGCGTGAGACGAGCGGGAAGCAGCAGGCAGACAGATAAAATAAAGAAAATATAGTTGGTATGAAGTTAAGTAACGTAAAAGTGATAGGACTAACGTTTGATATATATTAGAGTGAAACTAACAATGGAAAAATATATGAGAAAAAAATACATTTATTCAGTCAAATCGAAATTCCAAAGTAATTGAATCAGCCTGAGTGCACTTTAACAAAAGGAACAGAAGAAAGAAGACCACAATCGTAAGTGAATCATACCAGACTAATATTGCGATAGTATTAGAGAAAATAGTTCGGCTTGTCAACTGAGATTCGAAAGTAATAGAATAGGCCTAAGTGGACTTTTGACAAGAAGAGAGCTATACATATACTGATATAACGTTTACGATATGCTTATATTCTCTGTAATGTGAACACTTTATTGTACATACGTTTAACTTGTTCCGAATATATATATTATTTGAAAACAAGTAAAACGTATGCTGTTTATTCATCGTTGAATTTATCGCTAACAAGTCGCAGACTTAGTAGAAGAATCCTAAGCCCAACAACTACATAGTATATATTTATACTATTAAGAAATATAAGTAAAAGCTATTTATTTCGAAAATTGGCAAACAAAAAAAACAAAAACAAAACAAAAACAGAACACATATACATATATAATATTAATTTTTTTAATTCTGACAATCATGCACCTAAAATATTTTTCTGATATTCAAGTGTACTTTTCTATTAAATCACTCAAGTTTTATTTGGGTTATCACAAATACCTTTAAATTGAAATATTTTCGTACATGTATTGTCAAATTCGCTTATTCATTAAAATGTCATGAATAATGCCACCCCAGAATCTAAAAGTAAAACTTACTAAAACAGCTTGTGACACTTACAAGTATGAGTTACTTTTATTTTATATTTATTTTTATTATTTTTGGTCGTCTAAATACAGTTTTTGAAAAATTCCACAGAAAGAAAGTTAAATCAAACATTATGTTATCAACCAAATTTATTTATTGTCAATGTAATGGACCAGTCAAACACGTCACTACCAGGATAAGATTACAAATTTATAAAACACAATACAAGTTTTACAAAATTTTAGCAATCAGAACTTTGTAAATAAATATCTCAATAATCTTAATTACAACTAATTAAAGAAATAACAACAATATCAAATCACATCAAATAATAATGATAACGAATAAGGAAAAACAATTCGTAAGATTATACAAAAACCGGTATTATCCACTGCTTATAAGTATCACGAGGATCTGCAATAACCTATTTCTTTAATAATTATATCTTATCCAGTCTAACACCACTCTCGCTCAACTTTAGATCATAACCATTTTATTTCCCTGCCAGGTCACGAGATTAGATGTCATATAAGTAACAACTTTGGATAATCTTACATGAACTTTTTATCAACATTTCAATGCTAGGGAAAACTAGAGTCGGTTTTTCAATATAACAATGACTCGTTTAATACGCGTTATATTCTAGGAGTAGGGGGCAGTTAAGCCAGTCGTTTTTTTTTTTTTTTAAGAAATTCAAATATAGCGGAACTAAACGAAAAAAGGAAAGATAAATCATAAAAGTAACACAAAAAATAAGATGAAATGCTTATATCACGGAGTAAATTACAGTAAAGGTAACATAGACTACTCTGCATATAAGTTGAGAGGAAAATTTTCGCGCTCACGTTTTTACTTGTTCTTCAGACTAATTTCTTTCTATGCTG